CTGGGCCCCCCGCCGCCACGGCGCCGCGCCCCGGCCGCCAATGAGGAGGCAGAAGGGAGGGGCGGGTGGGCGGGAGGACGGGCAGCGAGGATGGCAAAAGCTGAGACGTCTTGAACTGCCCTCCCGCCTTTGTCCATGCGGTGAGGTCATAGCAGAGAGGGGTGCTGATTGGTGGAGGTGCGCACGGGGCGGGCGTGCTCCCCAGCATGCCAGCCAATGAATAAAGCGTCTCCTAGCAGCAGAGTGATTGGCAGGGCTTCCAGCCATTCAGTGCCGCTCTCCCTGTGAAGCCGCGGTTGCCATAGCAAGGCGCGGGGCCCGGCGCCGTGGCGCCCCCGCTTGTGCTTCGGTCCCGACGGGCTCCCAAGGGTCCATCTCGGAAACGGGAGATTTGCGCCTTCCAAAGGGAATAAAGGAGGGAGAAAGGAAGCGTGTGGATATAGAGATGAGACACGGTCTTGCCTTAGCCCAGAAGGCTGAGATCTCCCTCAGAGAAAGGGACAAGTCAGCAGAGCGTCGGCTTTGTTGCCATCCAGAACTGCCAAGAAATGGCAAAGGGTATCTAATAAATCAGCTGCTTCTTTTCCACCAGCAGCTTTAATATACAGAGTGTGTGCAGACTGTGCTAACAAGGCCGTTTAATCAGTGTCACTCATGAAAATACACACGCATCTTCCCAATCACCCATAAATCATTGAACCGCTACTTCCTTCAGACAACACGTGAGCTGTCCTTCAGACAACACCTTATTATTAACGTATTTTTCTTTTTGCATGCACCAGCTGGATCTGTAAAAGGTTTCTGCCAAGCGCACTCCGTTCTCTGTGCTCACGAGTGCTTGCAGAGCCAAGGCAGAGTCTCAAATTCTGTGTTCCCGCCCCAGTAATCTTGGGTCAATCATATTACTAACACACTGATGACACTCAGCAATTCCTGGGTCTAATGACGTTTCCTTCACAGGAGATTTATCAGACTCGTACATTTGTTATGTGCCACGAGACCCTCCCCTGAATTACGTTGGAGGAGGACAAAGGACTCACTGAAGGAGCCTTTTCCTTCCACTGCCCAAGGCATTTCCAAGTGTCCATTTTACTTCCCAGCATAAAAGTCTTCTGATTCTGCAGAACATCATCTCAAACAACACGGGAGATAAGGCTGAAGTCAGCCCAGCTGTTGTCAGCTATGGGAATGAAACAGGATGTGGCAGGAGGTTATCCTAATTTGTACAAGGATACCTTGCCCTGTTAATCAGTCTGGAAATCTGGTCTGTAATCAGTTTGGAATGCAGAATAAAGTGGTGCATCCCGTACACATTCATGTTAGTTGTTTGAAGGGCCTAGAGTAAAGACACTGAAATTAGGTAATAATTAAATGAAATGTGTCAAAGAGAATAATTTGAAAGCAGTGCTTTGAAGTTTTTGTGCTATTGAGCTAATAAAAAAAATGTCATTCAGGCTTGTACGTTAGTGCTATTTTTGTTAGTCTCAAGGGTCTCTGTTTCACGATAACAGAAATGCAGAACTTTCTTTAATGTTCCCTCGAGTACGGATGGTTGGTGCTCTGTTGGCTTTATTTTACAAGCGACACATCTCACATACAGGTTATAGTTGAATACTTCGACCTTCCAGAATCTTTCAGGGAGCTATCAGCAAAGGGGACTGTAAATTGGAACGGCTAGGTCAAGTCCAGTGTAAAAAATTAGAAATAATAAGTAATCTGTGTTTCTTCAGAAACATTGCTCCAACCTTTATACGGATCTAAACACTGTGCTTTGGCCTGCAGAAACTTCAGAGCGCTGAGGCAATGCAATCAACTTTTTAATAAATCTCTCGTAATTAATGGCCTTTGGTCCTGTGAAGTGTTTAGCTTTCAATACTATTCATGACTGCCCAGTTCTCAAGCCTCCAAATATGCAAGCTACCTTTTCTTTTTTTTCAGCCCTTAGCTCACAATTTTATAATTTTCCTCTTCTTTTACTGTATGCATCATGATTGCATTAACACCTGCCTCTGCACTTCCACTATTTTCCTATCATGTCGTAGATACGTGAGTCATCTTATTTGTGATCTGCTGAGGTGAGTAGTGCTGTGCTCTTCGAGTCATTACCAGCACTGCTAAAGCTTGCATAATATCTTCTTCTGTGTCTGAATCCGTCAGAGACTGTTTTCTTTTCCCCCAAAATGACTATGCAACTGTGAGTCACTGCTATTACGACAGAGGAATTGTAATCCTTGTGTCTTTCCCATTCTTTATGACCAGAATTTTCTTTTGTAGGACATCTTTGTTCACTCTTCTCCAAGTCCCTATATGTCACTATAGACATTTTTACTGACTTCAGTTCACTTTAGACCCTCTGCTTTGATCTGGAGACTGCTTTAGGTCTGGTTATTGGTAAAACAGATGGAGAGGAAAAATAATATTTATCCAATATTCTGGAATGATATTACTGAGCTGTTTCTTCCCGTCATTTATGAAAGCATTATTGAAACTTAAGCATATTGAAAAATTATTAAAAACATATTAAGACAATATAATAAGAAGCTGATTAAAAAAGTATCACCAGAGATACACTAGAGGGAATATTTTGTACAAAAGCTCTGTATCCACAGCTGTAAATGAACCAGGAAAAGGACTAGCAACAGATGGTTGCTTAAAGGAGGAGACAGTGAAGGGTGTCCTTTTGCACTAGGTGAATGTAGTATCCCTGCAAATAGCACGGGATGCTCAGACAGGGCCCTTGGGATCTTGCATGGAAATGCAGGTCATCATGGCTCTTCCAAACAGTAGCAATTGCCAGGGGAGGACCCTCCCAGCGGCAGGAATTGCTGGAGCTTGGCACATTCCCCCATGCTTGTAAGTGAGATGGTGCTGGTGCGGAGCCAGGCGTCAGCCCCGGTGCCGCCCGGCAGCGCTGCCCCGGGCTCCTTTTTGATGCCAGGGCACCTCTACAGCGCTGCGCAGGGCATCAACGTGCCTCCCTTTTAAGCAGCCACTTCAAAAGTGGGTGGCCACAAAGCAGGTCAGTGTTCACCCTAAGCATTGCTCAAACGCGGTTACCAAAAATGCTTGTTATTTTTTCTGACTTGATACAGAATTTCTAATGAAACTAGATTCTATCCCCTCTCTGCAGCCCCATTTCTCCCACGACAGCCTGCACAAAGTGCCGGCCAGCCTTGTATCAGTGATCCCTGCAGGAAAAATGGCACCGTGGAAGTGAGAGTAAGAGGGATAGTCAGGAATTTTTGAATTTAATCCTACCTGTTCCACAGGCCTGAGGACTATGCGAGTTAATACGTTGAGAAAATCAGCACAGGCCAAAGAGTGGTGGCAGGCTCGGTTAGTTCATCTTTCTGGGCGCAGTGGGACACAGGGATCACCAAGCAGCTCTTCCCGGGTCTGTTCCTTGGAGATAAACCCGCTCCACGATGGTAGCTTCGCAGCTGGATGGACACGCAGCAGTAGCGGCAAGCAAACTTAACCAGAGCCCGTCCCCACCTAGGTCACCTAAAACCAGATGAGTGAGTGCCCAGTCTGATTTTCTCTGATGATTAAAAAAAAAAAGGGGCAATACAGAATCATACTGGGCACAATCATTTCTTTTAGCTCAAGATTTTTTTGACTCATTCTCCATTATGCCCCACACTGGTGCTTCTGCTCTCCAAGAAGATGTTCCGGAGCTGGTGAAATTGTTTTTCTAATAACTCTTTTTGATTGTGTAAATCCTCCTGGCATAGCAGCTGACATTTCAGATGCTGCATTTTTGTACTTGTGCCAGGGAGCATTTAACATGCTGCAGTTGCTTATGTTGTTGCTGTGCTTTTTTAAAGAAGGGAAAACAGTTCCTTCCTCTTGTGTCTCCAGCAGAGAGGCTGTTTCTCCTCGAGGAGCGAGTTCACATGATCATGTAGATGCACCAGATAAATTCCTTCCCACGTTTGATATTTGCAAAGTTAAATGATTTTTATTCCAAAGCTGATAGCTGGAATGGTTGTGTGATTTAACTTCTCTGACTCTTTCTCCTTTTGCTCACTAGATTTGAAGAAATAAATATAACAATCAAATGCTTCAACTTAGAAAGATTCATTAACCACACATTCCTGACCACATTATCTACACAAGCATTTCTCTCTACTTGTTTGTTTAAAGCTGGCCAAGAGTCAGGCTTTAAGTTCCAGAAATACTTTTAAGATAACAAAAATGGGTATCCAGATTGAAAAAGAACTCTGTATTTAGAAACTCAGAAATACTACTGGGGGGTGGCTGTGCTCT